TTTTTGTAACAGGTCAGGGCTTCCTGGGGCCACTATTGAAAAACCCCCCCCCCCCAAAAAAAAACTGTCTTATTTTTGTACTACATAATACAAACAATGCAAGCAAAACATTTATTATGGTTTTATATACAAAATGTTATTGAAATTCTCAAAACGTTTTGCATACTTCTCCAGAACACCACTATCTTAATATCAGTGCCTGGCACTAACATAATAAGGCAACACTTTGCAGTTGGAATAAAATGGACTGCAAATATCAGTGAGTCTCACTGATGATTAGAACTAGCTTGGAATGTTTTGTGCTGTCTATTAACAATTACATATTTTAAAGCACCATCAGTGATATATTCTAATAACAATAATCTGACATTACCTTTGAAGCACAAACTAGATCATGTGAACAGTATTCTGCTTATGAAATTAAGCTACATAAATACTGGAAGCATATCCTTCTCTTGTGGTAAGCTGCACCATGGCAACTTTAATGTGATTTCAGCTTCAGAACTATCCTGTAACTACATCACTTCTGTTAAGTAGGGCATGAGTAGTGTGTAAAAGGTAACAGGCCATGGAGGCCCATAGAGTTTTTGAGACGTTAAGGCCTTATGTGCCAGCCACCCTTTACCCCAAGGAAGATTACTCGTATTCGTTTCTGTTAGAGGCTGAGCCAACCCTGGGGCCATAGTTGTTCTACATCTTAGGCTTGGTCAAAAAGGATTTATTGAGTTTAAAATAAACTGAACGAATGGTGTTGCTGGAAGGATCAGGTCAATTGAAAAATCCAATGATCCGTCTTGTAGCATTGTAGTGCCTCAACAGACTACACTTACTATGTGTATGTGTGATGCGCAGAAACGTGCTAAGTGTTTCATGCATAACTTGAATGAATGTATGAGGGGTAGGCCTCCTCGGCCCTTGCACCGCGACCTCAGTGGTCTATTGTGCTATTCATGCATAACTTCCTGACATCTTAAAGAATAAACGTCAAATCTTGAAAGAAACTATATGCTTATATTATATATTATTATTTTATATACGGGAGCTGTAATATTGAATATTGATCATCAGATACTGGCTAAATTGCACACCTCTTTTTCAAGGGGGAAAAAAGGAGGGGGGGGATGTTGAAAAGCTGAGTTAATGGGTAGTAACCTATAAAATCTCCTTACCCACAGTCAAATATTCAATCCACATTGACCTCAAAAGAAATATGTATTCCTTACAGCTTTGACACCACATTTCTCACTTGTTTCTATCTGCACAGACATGTTCTGGATGTCAAATGGTCTGTAAACAGATAAACTATGATCACAGAATATTAAACCATTCTTTTCCAACTCCTTGTGGAAATTTTTACTCAGCTTCCTCTCCTTTGGTCTGATCACTGTCACCGTCTTCAGTCTTATGTCCATCATTCTCTGCCTTGGCACAATCACCTTCAAAGATCGGCCCTGGGGCACTCTCCTCCCCCTCTAAAAGAATTTCTTCTGGATCTGGAGCACGTGGAAGAAATTCACTGTCTGGATACATCTTGCTAAATATTGCTTTTGCCTGAAACAAAAAGAAGAATATAAATTTACTTTATATACTGTACCTAGGTCAGAACAAAACTGGACTGCCAGCAAATCCACTGTATAATTTACCTCTGTGACTGCATATTCAAAGTCGAGATCTAGGTCTGGTCCAGAGCAGAGGTAAACTTTGGCTGGTATGTTGGCAGTGAAGTCACACTTTGATGTCTCGGGGCAATTGAAGTAGAGTGACCATAGAACTTGGGGTTTTACTGGCTCACATTTTGCTGTATCTCCGACTTCTTCTCCTTCACCATCCTAAACACAGAGAGGATACCAATTTGTATTTTTATTGCTTCAATTCACATCTGTAAATAGTTTATATGCTGCACCTACATATATTATATTAACAAGTTGTGGGGTTTGTACCATTTCGTCACTGTTAATCAAACAACATGACTATTATGTACAACTGTACAGGTATATATAGTCAAAAATTATCTCTATTATCATCATCCACTGTCAACATCATTACATGCATGTCTTGGTCTCTCTCCATCATGTTTCCCTGCCAAAATTTCATGTACAGTGCTTTATTTCCCTCATGTATGATATATGCTCATGGATCAGGATGGCTCAGGTGATAATATATGGATTATCATCACAGAATATGCTGTCAAATGTCTGTACACTGTCTGTCTGGAAGACAAACTGTGTGGCCATCTTGTGTGTGATATACCTCAGATTGTTTCTTGTTGGGAGACTGGGCACTGGAGTCAGCGCTGTTTGTGATGCTGTCGGTATGCAGTAATTTTGCTACAACAGTCTTGAGATCCTCTCTGGCCGTTGTCTGTTGCTTGCATGTCATATGCACGACATCTGCAACAAACAATTTGTTGATACTAAAATAATTCTTCATTACTTAAAGAGCATTCATTAATCAAAGAATTTTCACACTTTACTTACACATTCCAGGGGGACAGGCATTTGTTGATGGACCCACTTCAATCACAGTAACTGGCTCACTAGATCCATCTACTGGAGGGAACTGGAGTAATGTCAATGATTCCTTGTCAGCTAATAGAATGGATCTAAGACAAAAACAGAAATCAATGAAGGGTTTATTCTTTTGTGGCAAGATGGTCATTTCAGAGGTTTTTCTAGGTTTTCTTTGCCTGGATTAATTATTTGTGCACATGGAATAGCATAATTCTTTAATCAATTATGTGAATACAGTTTCACACAGACTTGTACTTAAACTGTAACTTGTAGTGTGGTTAAGATTTTCATTTATTCATTCATTCATTTATTTATAGTTCCAAAAAAATCCATAGAGGCATCTGCCTTAGATATAGAACAAGTCAATAATACAATATAGCATATAAATATACATACATAATCAGATAGTCATCATCGTCAAAATTTAAATATTCAATACAACAAAAGATGCCCATATTGTCCACATCTAAGGTTAGTCATACAAAGTCAAAATGCAATCAGCCATTTGTTATCTTCAGGTTTTAGATGAGAATGTTTTGTCTTGTGGTTGTTTTTTTAGGGCCCCTCTGCTGCAAGTTCTAACTGTTAGCTTCTTTAGCTTGTATGCAAATTCAGTGCTGAGGAAATTATGAAAGATCTTGATTAGGACAGCTGATAACCTGGATGCAAATCTAGATTATCATTGGCTATTTAATGATGCCCTCAGCATCAAGACTATGTAGCATCAGACAGGATTACAGATGAACAGGAAAGGATATGGAAGGAAGTGGCTGTTGCTTAATCCCAACATTTGCCTGGAGGGACCTAGGAAAACCATCAGGATAGACGTGTCAGTCAAGATTCAAACCATGCAAGTCTAGAGCATTACCTGTAGACCAACCTATTTGGTACAGGTATTACCCTGCACAGCCATTTTTTTTATCATACCTGTCTGTAATGAAAATTCCACGAGATAGGCCACCAGGGGGAGCTGCTTGGAGAAACTGTGGAGGAGCATAGCCGACTCCCAACACAAGGTGATGCGACTCAAGTCTCCGTCCATCTGACACAATCCCTCGGCAAGCTGACACTGATCCTTGTCCATCAGTGACTATCAATGCCTCAGCTGCACGTTTGAGGTGATACAAACCTCCAAACACTGCACAGAGCCTGCATCATGTGTATTATAGATATTGCAACAGATGGTCTTGTGAGATGTAGCGTACATTTAAATTCACCGTCATATTTGTAAAGTGACAATATTAAAATGGCATTTTCAGTTTACTTCTCTAAAGTGCAGCAATAACTATATATAGCACTCATTCTAACATTAAGAAACTGCATTTTTCTCATGTGATGTATTTATTTGTTTCATATGATTGTCATGATAAACTGATTACTTCCCTAAACAGCAGTAACCATTGGTCTTTATAATGGAGACACAGTGTTATCTGTGAAGTAGGATCTGTATATTTTTTAAATATAATTTGAAGTTCAGGCTGCAAAAGAGTTAATGATAGTAGGATTTGGTTCCTGTAGGCACATCTAAATACAGGTATTTGTCATAGGACACTAATACTAATACAAGACCAGGAAACCATTTTGATTGGTTCAATATCATATACTCAGTAACAGCACCTGCAAAAGCACTGGGGTATCTCTCCACTGCCATACATTGGCCACAAGAAGGGCGTATTTCCATAACGCCCCAGGCTATTCAGAAACCTCTGTGTTCGGGCTACACCTTCCATGCAAGGAGTGGTATCAGTAGCCATTGCAATAGCGTATAGCACATAGTGTAACAGATTTGGTGTCAGCTTCTTTGATTTCAAGTACTCTGAAAATGGTTTGTCTTCAAAACCTAGGAAACAAAACAAGACATATTGTTACAAATAAGATCAGATGCATTAGAATTACAGACATGTTTCAGGTTGACACATGAATATTCTGAACTTGATAAACAACACACATTAAATAAATCAATTTAAGAACCAAGGTAAAGTCTGATTTAGGATTCAAATTTCACATCGGACAGCTGTCTGCACCAGTGGATTTCAAACAAGTATGTTACTTAAACAGAAAGAACCTTAATCAATAATGGTATCAAACCAAACAAGGTAGTCACAAAATTAATCTTAAAGGGATAAAGAAAGAACCAGTAAAGTAAAAAGGAAAGTAAAGTAAAGCTATCCCTGTAACAGGCCGTGAAGGCCCATAGGGCTGTGAGACGTTGAGGGTCTCACACTATCTAGACAATTGGCTTAAAGATGGCGGTAAGGTTGTCAGCCTTACGCGCCTGCCGTGCTTTACTCCCCAGGAAAATTATTTAATTAATTCCTGGTACTTATTTCTCTCTTACAATATTTATATTATTGAAGCATCGGTTAATTTCTTATTTATGTACTTTGGTTTTGGATTACTGAAGAGCTAGTGAATTAGTTTGGTTACTACTTTAAAAAATATGTGAAAGAGAGTGTACCTTCAAATTCATTTGAACTGTGTTCATACTCCATGCACACAGTGAGCAATTTCATGAGCATTCTCTTTTCAACAACTGTAACGTGACGGGTGGCAAAAACATCAGCTCGTGAACATGGAACGGGCTCAAGATGGCCATCCAGCCAGGTCAGCACTCTAGTCACACTTCGGAACTCAGCATAGCGTGCGATGTTGGAGGAGATTAACAGCTCAACCAGTGAGCCACGAGCAAACAGGAGCTAAATGATGCACACACAGATCAGCAGATTAAAACTTCTACAGTTACTCCAAATAATCTATTATTTACAAATGTCAACTTTCCAGGTGGAATTCAGTATGTACATAAAAGGTCATTTACTGCCCACAAAACTAATTCTAAAAGGTGGCTTCAGGTTAAATCTCAGAGCCATTCTGAAAAATCTTTACTTCTTTGGATTAAGAGGATGACAAATTTTGTCAGCTTTTTCTAGAAAAATCAGTTAAATACTGAATTTTCAGTATTAGCCAGAGGATGTGTAAAAACTGTCAGCTGTGTGTAGGTTCATTCCTGGAAGCAGTTAATGATATTTCAAGTCCTATACTGGAATACAAAAATGAGAAAGTGCTGATGAAGTGTCTCGATTTTGTCCTTTCAGGAGTCTCTCTGCTATACTAGTGCTGCCTACCCTGTCGCAGTTTACCTTCATGAAGCATGAAGTTTAAGTCTACAGTAAAATTATAGGCATATGTCCCAAACAGTTGTGTTTCTTATTGCAAGGTGTGGTCCAGCATTCATGGTACAGGTTCCTCTATAAAGAACCCAAACTGAAGCAGTGGATTGCAAGAAACATGTTCACTCAGGCTTCCTCCTCCACTCACAACTCTACCAAAGCTGAGAGAGGAAGGCATTCTCCTACTTTATATGTGACTACAGGGTATGTTATATTAATGTTGGTCTCAACCATCTGATATATTTCAGTATCTCAGTTGTCAGCACCATCTGTCTTTTCATGTGGGATGAGAAACAAACTGAAACAAGACTTGAAGTGATTATGACTTTCTCCTAATATAAACTAAAGGATTCTGTAAAAAATGACCTTTGGTGCTAAATCCAAATTAAATTTACGGTACTCTTTCTTCAGCTTAGTCTGACTCCATGGCTCTGTAATGGCAGGTTTTCCATCTTCAGCTTCAGCTTTTTCAGCATCATTTTCTTTCTCCTTCTCTTTCTCTGTTTCATCACTCTCTGCCAGCTTTACATCATCTGTATCTCCAACTTTTTCCCCTTGTTCATCTCCATTGTTCTTAGAAAATGATGTGGCTTGTTGAGAGTCTGCAAGCTCTCTGAAATACAGTAATACAGTGTATGAAATGTAAGGCTATTCATGTACTTAGTACCATGTCAGGAGAGAAAAAGCCCATTCCACTGGACTGGAGTGGGTGAATTCCAGAGATCAAACCCTGTCTACTGGGTCTGTAGACTGTCATTATGACTATCATGGCTCCAAACAATATTTATAAGCAAACTTACTCTGCAATGTACCAAGTTTCTTCAATGTTAGATACTGTTGAAAACTGATTTCCCGCTTTGATTAACGTTTCTCCATCCCTCGCCACTGCAGAGACCTCCTCAGTAGGTTTCACTGGATGAATGCAATCTTCCATCCATTTCTGCAATCCTTCAAAATTGAATGAAGCCCAGAGTCCTCCATAATATTCGTTGCTAAATAAAATTAAAACAATACCAGTGTGATGGTTAATTAATCACTGTATAACTATTCTTCTGAGCTCAGGAAAATTCATACAATTTACCTATCAAGATGTAGAACTCTTTTGCCTATTCTACTAGCAGCAGCGGCCACAACAGATTCAGTCATTCCTAAACGGAAAAGAATCCCATTATAATGCGTGTTTGGAAATAGGTTAACATAAAATGTAAAGAATGATTTGTATATTTAAAGTTCTGGACTGCAAGTGTTTGACACTTAAAGAGAATTTCCACTATAATTCTTATACAAGCATACGTTCAGCATCATGTATGTATTACCAGTTCCTACGACAATAACGTCGTATTCTGTCGGCAGATCGTCTTCCATGCCTTATTTGTTTAAGAGTCTACAAAGTAGGATGATATAATGTTATCAAAGCCACTTCCTAACTGTTTGACATTAGACCATTATTAAACACACCATAACTAATACTTGTCAGCTGAAACTCGATACCACCAATGGCCAACGAAATATAACCATTATAGTGTCCTGAATGTAATTTAATTGTATCTGTAACATAAACGGCTGATACGCAATACTATAAAATTGTTATCACTATTAGTCTAACCCTATATCAAACGTATTTTTTTAAGTTTGAGATTTCTTTCGAAATATTATATCCCAACTTAGTGTTATATTATATTCCTATGTTGGCGGAGAGGAATCGGGGACAGGTATGTTCCTTTTAAATAGATCAATGGAAGTTAAAATAGACGGCAGGAGAGTTCAATAAAAGTCATACGAACTCTGATGCTGCGACTTGCTAGGGGCTGGACGACTGAGGGGTCTGAATTCGAGTCCCGGTAGGGTGAAGAATTTTGTTCACGTCGTCCAAATCGGCTCTCGGGCCCACCCAGCCTCTTATCCAATGGGTACCAGGGGCTCTTTCCCCGGGGGTAAAGCGGCAGGAGCGTGAAGTTGACCACTCACCTCCAACAAGGGCCGAGGTCAAGAAAATGTGGATCTATATGTGCACTCCCCCATGCGTCTTCGTGGCATAGTAACTTTCTTTCTTATTTTACTTACATGTTGGTACTCCTGAACACTGGATAGTGCGGGAATACACGCAGCTGAAAATGGAGGCAAGGTTAACGTGTGAAGAGGCCCCTCGATTACTATGTAAATATGGTCAAAAGTGCTATCAGACAAATCCGTTGCATCATCAAAAATACAAGCATCCACCAAAGCGGAAAATAGAGGTAAGTTATTTTAATACGCGTTACAAAGTCGTACTACATGTGAGAAGAAAATCAGGACTGTGCCCGATCCTCCAAAACGTCAGTTAACACTATATACACACGGTGCCAAATCCCAGAAGACTGCTTTCTTCATGTAGTACATTATTTGCTTCATAAGTTGAGCGAAAATTATCTTATATATTAAATATAAATAGTCTTAAAGCTATATATTATCCATATTATCATTCATTGGTGAAATATGGAATAATATTTTGGGGAAATACATCAGACAGTCATAGGGTCTTTGTTATACAAAAGAAAATAATAAGAATGATGATGGGAGTGGGCCCAACTCACACATATAGAGATTTATTTAAAAACTTGACATACCAGCAATGCCATGTGTATATTTGCTCTCATTGATGATATTTGTTGTTAATCATTTGGATAAGTTTCAGACCAATAACTCTGTATATGTCATTGGTACCCAAAGGAATGAACACCCTCACACACCTTCAACACATTTATCAATTTTCCTATCAGAGAAGGGTGTATTATTCAGGTGTCAATCTATTTAATACTCTGCCATCAAATATCACAGTTTTAAAAAATGATAGAAAGGAATTTAGGTTTGTTTTATGAAATTATTTGCAAAGTAACGCATTTTACTCGACGAATTTGTCGAGCGTGTAAGTGGTTCAGATGTTAAGGGTGATAATCTGGTTTGCGTTCTTGTATTATATGTTGTTGACACTTGCGTGTGGTGTGGTAGTATGTATGATGACTGTGGTTATGTATTCTGTAATGTGTTACAATGAAATTATATTGATACTGTGGCTGGCCAATGTATGTGTAATGGTAGGGGGTGCAATTGCACCGCGTATATGAGGAAGAAACTAGTGAAATGCTACATTTGGAGCATAGCTCTGTATGGAGCTGCAACATGGACACTTAGGGCAGTAGATCAGAAACATCTGGAAAGTTTCGAAATGTGGTGAGAAGGATGGAGAAGATTAGTTGGACCGATTATGTGAGAAATGAAGAAGTGTTAATTAGAGTCAGTGAGCAGAGGAATATCCTACATGAAATAAGAAAACGGAAGGCTAATTGGAATGGTCATGTTTTACGCAGAAACTGCCTGCTAAAAGAAGTTATTGAAGGAAAGATAGAGGGGTGGATAGAAGTGACAAGAAGACGTAAAAAGATGCTGGATGACCTTGGGGACAGAAGAGGATACTCTGAATACAAGTACATTACTGCTTTACTGCTCCACAAATTCAGATGCTTTAAATATTTTTACTGTGTTTAGGATGAGTTTCTGCCTCCTTGGACATTCATTTGTTACATGTTTTAAGTCTCAGACTCCATGCAGCTTGTCTAAACATTTGTGTAATATCCTATCTAATTTCAAAGAACTGGGCCAGAGAGTTTCATTGCAGTATGAGATATGTAAATATAGAAATTCTGAAGTACCTTCAGTGACTGTTTTTACTGTATGAAATTGTCAGGTGTGCTGGGCTCCTTTTTCTAAACAAAGTTTCACAAAATATGCAACATCACCAAGATTTCAGTGCTTGTAAAATCAGTTGTTGTCAGAGTTAAGGTAAAGCTGTCCCTGTATGTAACTAATTAAGCACCGTGTCACGAAGATGTATGAGAGGGTGGATGTATAGGTCTAAATTATCTTGACCTGAGCACTAGTTGGAGGTGTGTGTTAGCTTCATGCCTGGCCTGCTTTACCCCAGGGGGAAGAGCCCCAGGTACCTGTTTGATAAGAGACTGGGGCCCAGAGCCAGTCTGGACGGCATGTGAGAAGTAAAAATTCTAGCCCCGACTGGGTCGCAAACTCTGACCTTTTGGTTGTCCAGCTGTAGACAGTCGCTATACTGACTGTGTTATCCTGGCTCTACTCGGAAAAGTTGTGTCAAATGCATATCTTGTCACCTTTAATTCATTTGGCTGCCATGCATTCAAATTTAATGAAAGTGCCACATATTTCTTAGCTTATATGGCATGTACTTTGCTTGTATCCATTTTTTAATTCTTTACTGGTGTAACACAAACTGACCCAGCAACATGATGTTATAAATGCCAGAAATGAATGGACACAGGACCATAGTCCCAAGTTAGACAGCAAGTAGATTTCTCCCTGACATTGGTTTCTCAGTCTGCTTAATTATATGCAGGCCAAAGTAGGAGTTGCGAGTAAGAAGAAGAAGACAGTGGCTCCACCCGGAAATAATGAGAGGAATGTACCTGTGTTGGTTGAGGATGAGTGTAAAGTTCTGAGTGTTCCTGAGGAAGAAGAAGATCTTCCTCCCACACCTGAAAATGAGAACGAAGCTATCAAACAGAAATTTCTTGTTGACATGCCAGAAGATTTTTATTCCTTTTGGTCATTTTGCAAGTCTCTGTCACCAGATAAACCTGAAGGTATGTGAAGTGTTTCATTACTGTAAATCAGAAATCGTCATTTACAAAGCACATGTGTTTAGGAGGTTACAGGTGGTTTCACTTCACATGGTAGTTTTTTCTTTTGTGTGTTTATGTACACAGGGCTTTAGAAATACAATTTAAATCTACTAGTCCCTTATCAGTTATCCTCTTCCAACATTCTTTTCATACTGTTCACATGCCAGCATATTTGTGGAGCTCTTTGTGTGGCTGCATGTGAAGTTGAATATACAGAACGTAAATAAATTCAAATTCATTTATATGCAGCAGAAGTTTAAGCAATGTACACATGATTTTATTACTCAGATGACAAGTAAATATCAGACTAGGGTTGACATATTCTCCCTGCATTTAGTTTGTATCTGCACACACGTGGGTTAAACTCTTTACAGTGCCATAACTCAAGCGGTTAGTCTCTGGCTTCCCACTGCCCAGGTTCAAGCCCGGGTCTGGTCAAGTGGGATTTGTGGTGGACAAAGTGGCGCATGGGGAAGGTTTTCTCTGAGTACTTCGGTTTCCCATGCCAATCTTCATTCCACCAATTGCTCCACAATCACCCTCACCTATCATCTGGGGCTGGTACAATAGGCCAGAAGTGGCCACAGTACAAGGGACTTTACAGGTTGGCAGTACTGCTGAAAATAATAAGGCATATGTTATGGCTGTCTTTTCTGTAAAAGACATTTGGGGAGTTTGGATATTAGGTCAGCAGAGGTTTCACTGCAGTGTATTGTCATATTGCGGTGTTCTTGGTTATGACACTGTGTAACCTGGAGGTGGGTACCAATGTTTGAGGGGAATATACCTCTCCATCTTCCAACAAGAAAGGAGAAGGGACAGTATGTACATCTGTAATGTTAGTACCCACACACCAGATGGCAGGGTGCCTTAATCACAAGACCACAATATGATTGTTAAAGTGTTTTAATTCTTCTAATTTCAATGCTTTATTTCAGAGGCTCTGAAAGATGTTGGCCTTCTGCTTGTTGGTCCCTTTGATATACTGTCAGGAAATTTGAAGAAAGCAAAGACTCGTAAACTGTCCCTCTATTTAATACACTGGAGATATTATTATGACCCCCCAGAATTTCAGGTATATTACTACCTTTACTGTGATTATTCTGTAGGGATAGAATATCATGTGCTTCTGTATCTTGATGTCAGTCCATCTCAGCAATCCTTGAACTAATTCAAATGAAATTCAGTGTTGATAGTTTATGTTATTATAATTATGTTTATTGTCACCAAGTTTTAAAACTATTAGTAATAGAACTTTTTATATTTCTGTCATCATTTTATTTTATTCTATTTTTTGGCTTATTTATCTTTTATATATGTACCACTTGACGTGTTCCATATCCTGCCTGTTGTACTGTGGATCTATGGAATGTAAAATAAATGAATGACTGAATGAATAGTCATGTTTAACCTAAACTCTTCTTTGTGAAACTTATAAATACTGCTTTGCCTGCCATTTTATTTTATTTATTATAATTAGAATGAGGATTTCATATCTATGTTATATATGTCCAGTGATTGAGACTAGCTCTTTCTAAGGGGCCCAACTGAGTAGGTTTATCCTTCCCTATCCACCTGAAGACGGAGACAGATCCAGTCTCCGAAATGTCGTGGTTTTTTGTCTTTCACATACCAGACGATGGGTAAAGTCCAAAATAAACCAAAAGAAGTAATGTTATATACTGTTGCACAAATGTTGAGTTTTCATTCCGGTAGAACTGACAGATTTGTGCATTAAGGTTACTTTGTTCAAATCTGTAATGAAAGTGTGCTTATATACGGTGAACAAGAAGTTTTGACAAACTATATGATGTGGTTCCACAATTAGATGATGAAAAAGTTCGGTATGAATGTGCATTTGAAATGGTGTTTCAGACCTATGGCCCTTCTGAATTTTAGAATGTTTGAGGTCAGCAACTTGGCTAGCATAGCCTAAGTTACTGTGAAAGATTCACATTAGTAGTAAGTGGTCGTTAAACACTCAAGAAGCTGGGTGTTGATTACGAAAATTTAATGTGGAGTGTCAGGGTTGTATCACATTTTCAGGTGCTGTCACAACACTGTGAAGTGCCTGTTTAATTTGGTCTGTTCATATGTCCTGTGAGGTCACTTGAAAGAACCCAGTCAATGCTAACAAGACTTGCACTTATTGATGTAGACATGGATGTTTCAGACTGTTGTCAAGGGTGATGACACCAAGCAGTACCACATGGGATATTTTCGGGATGATCCTCAAGAACCACCTTGCTTTGTAGCCAGAAACTGTGCTGCCATTGACTGCACAATTACTCCAATGGCTGAGAATATTTTTGGTGCTGTTAAGTAAGCAAAATCACCCAGGCTAGTGACTTTTTTAGCAATTTGACCTTCTGTTGCTCATATGATTCTGTGTGGATTATGTGGTTTGGAAAATTTCTCTTTTTTGTTTACTTTGTTTTATAAATGTCTGTGATTAGGCCCAGATTCAGTCAGGTAAATCCAGTTCATACCTTAACAGTCTACAAAAACATTATATCTTTAGATATAATGTTTTTGTAGTTCTGAAATTACTGCAGTGATAATGTAATGTTTGTTTGTTCTTTTGGGTATACAAAAAAAAACAGTTGTCCTTGTGCTTAATTCATTAAGCACCATGCCATGAAGGTGTGTGGGGTAGTGGAGGTATAACCCTACCATTCTTAACCTCAGCACTAGACTGAGGTGGCCGGTCAGCTTCATGCCCCTGCCCCATTGTGTAGGAGGCTGGCTGGGCCCCAGAGCTTGTCTGTGTGCGGTGGAGGAGGGAAATCTCTTGCTCCTGCTGCAAATCAGATCCCAATCCCTTGGAGCTTCATTGCTATGTGTCAGGGTAATAAATACTTGGGTAAGACACATTTTCATGTTACAGAACACTATTTGGCTTTGTTCCCCCCTTTTGCCTTAACCTTTGTCAGCTCTGTATCACACAGTGACATCTTTGTTCATAGTGAGGGAATGTTCAAATTTATTGCAGTGGTGTGAGTAGTTTTGAAAAATTGCTGGAAACTGAGTTATAAAAAGAGCAAACCTTCCTCTGTTGTTGAGAGCTGATATCTCTTTGCTATGTCTGGTGCCAAGTTTACACTAGCTTTGACTTTGATGGACTGGTGTCTTGCCACCCGTTGCGTTCTCCATTTGTATATTGAACCTGAATAAATAGCTATCACGTGGTAGTGTGTGGGAGTATGGAATAAATTGATATGTATGTGTTACTGTTAAATGTGCAGAATACCTAGATGTTTCATCCGTAACTGAATAGTTTAGTTAAAGTACATATGTAGTGATAGAAACTGCACTGTAACTAGCTAATTCATAGAGTTGTAGCTGTTGCATGAAGTAACTATCTGAGGGAAATTAAAATGTAAAATAATGTTAACTAAACTTAACCCCAGTGATTGTGTGGGAACCAATCCATGTGATCATGATAATGCACTTGATGCAGTTAGTGTGCTGATAAGGATGTGCTGTACAGTGCATGCAGTGTATTTCCACGTTTTGTTAAGAAACTGTAACCTCATTTTACAGGATACTTCCTGTTGTTTACTTATTCAGTGAGATCTACTTGAATTGTCTGTTGATGTTCCTTTGCTTACTGTAACTTGAACATTCAGTTAATGTATGACATAAGTAGGTGTTTAATAAAATAATAGATCATAGACTTGAATGGTCATATACAGTGTGTTTACATTCCTTGTAGCAATGTTTCTTTTATATATGTTGTACATACATGAGAGGGAAAGTTATCACAGGTGAAGAGAGTAGGCAATCCTCTGATTATTATAGGCATGCCATGACTTGGTGTGGGATGGGANATACCGGACGATGGGTGAAGTCCAAAATAAGCCAAAAGAAGTACTACTACTTCTGTTTCAGAGCGTGCTTGTGCTNCAGATCATAGACTTGAATGGTCATATACAGTGTGTTTACATTCCTTGTAGCAATGTTTCTTTTATATATGTTGTACATACATGAGAGGGAAAGTTATCACAGGTGAAGAGAGTAGGCAATCCTCTGATTATTATAGGCATGCCATGACTTGGTGTGGGATGGGAGGGTGAGTATATATGTGCACACTGCTGTTATGAACACTACTGCTTCTGTTTCAGAGCGTGCTTGTGCATGAAACTAGCGATTTTTCTTTCGTAAATGTTGCTTTATTTGTTTGCTAAGTAACTGTGATTTTGGAACAAAGAGAGCATAGACTAACAGTTCACAGCATTTTTCTGCTGTAGTGCAGGTAAATGCACTGATGTTTTTAGGATAAAGTGTAATGTATAGTTCCCACGCAGCCCTCCCTCTCCATCTTTGGCATGCCCATAACAATATAATGTGTGTGCTGATACACAGTTGTGAGTTGACTGAGATGTAAAGTGTTCTCAGTTGTGTACTGTAACCATTCCAAAAATTTTGGCTTTGAGAGCTACATTCTATCCATGTATTGTAGTATGAAAGAAGGATGTGTTTGTTTGCTATACAGATGTTGAAAGTACCACTCTACAGTGATATTACATTTTGTGTTTGTTCTCAGTGCTTATTTAGATGCCATGAAGGGGAAGTGTGACCCATTTCAAAAGATGAAAGTCTCAAAGGTTCAGAATTCTCTCAAGTCATGGGCAAAGGATAACAACTTTGTTTTGGATGTGCTCAGTGAGGCAATGAAGGCACGGAACAAGAAAGTAGTGACAAAGACATTTCATAATGCAGGTCTGGTTGTTCCTTGGAACAAGAAGACAGAGTTGGGATACAGAAAACTCATAGAAACAGATGGTGAGTTTTGGAAATCTGATTGAATTAAATTTGTTTCTATCTTTCCACAATATGTTGCTTCATAACTCTGAGGGCAACAGCACATTGATGGAACCAGTTCAAAAGAGGCTGTTGCATTATTCTTGAGAATTTATTGCAAATGAAATTGCTCTTTTATTCCATACACACACTGGATTGGACAGAAACGACCTTTTGAAGGTTGAAATGCATGAATTTGAAGCCAGGAAACATCAGTAAGAAAACTATGGTATTTGTAATTTTTTTTATTGTTTTTTATGCACACTTATTTTCAAGGTACCCCAACACCATAAGCTATTTTTTTCTGTGTATGTAAGTAATAACAAATGATTAGTAGAAACTGTATTTTTTTTAAAATATAAGAAGTCCATTGATCAAAAATTACCTTCCTTCACAGTTTAGACTTCTAAGGGAAGATACCTATGTTACTTTTCCAGGGAAAGTCCTTAGAATTCTTGTAGAGTAATTAAAACCTTTCCCCCATCTCTTCACAATGGTTCTCTAGTAAACATGCCTGTAATATTTCCTTACAATCCTTTCTCAATCATGCTTATTGATCTTAGCTGTGCTGATTTTCCTGGATTAATTTAGAATTGGCATCATATCGATTTGTGCAGGTGAATAAAATTTTCATATAAAACCCCCTGCTTTGATGTGGTCCTCCACTGAAGTTACTTGATTTATTCATTTTTTGTTTAATGGATGCAACAGTTATTGTACGGTTAAAACTATGAACAGTAACTTGAATAACATCTGTTGTGCACAGATGTTCAATGTCAGTACTGTCGATAGAGTATTCAAATAATATTTTCACTTCAAGCAGCTTCCTCTTTGGGTCAACAATAACAGAAACTATATATATTAATTCAGTACCCCAGAAGCAGTCAAACCGCTCCAGAAAACACAGAAGTGGGTACATTATGTTCACGTGTGTTGGGTAACTGATGGAAATCTAGCCATTACAGCCCTTGAAATGTTCTGATATTGGTGCACTACTATTTGGATATATCATAGCTGCCAGTTACCTCTGATTTTACAGAAACTGTGGGATTGGATTTGTTTTCATGTTCACCTTTTTTGTGAATGTAATTCATGAATGAAACAAAGAAATCTTGTCATGAAATTGGATAAATATGGGAATGTAAATATGAAGTGATGTTAACTTGACTGACAATTCAGAAACTTTGAAGCGAATACTGAAGAATGTGGTGGGGAGCAGCTGTGAAATGGAGCGAGAGGCACACCTGGGGGCGCTACAGCCCATTGTTACTGCTGCCAATATTGCCAATGATGAGTGTGATTTTGGGACAAGTCTTGAACTGGGTCTCGACTTGTTCTCTTTTGGAGGGAAAGTGTTCCACCGCACTGCACTTAATCTTCTCAAGACTGCATATAGCTTACTCCAGAGGAATGAATTTGCTTTAATAATTGAGGTATGCTTTAACCTTGCATGTTAACTGTTACTTTGTATTTATGTTGTAGTGATAGGCTGATAATTTAGATAATTTCATATTTCAGTAATGGTGTTAATTGTCTGTAATACCATTTCAGGCTCATTTGAAGAACAGAAGAAGAGGAACAGCACTCAGTATAGTTGATCAGATTATCTGAACCCATGAACATGTTCAATTTTAATTATTGAACATTTGTATTGTGGGAAATATATTTGTTTTGAAGAAATGGAGCCAGAGTATGCTAAACTCTTTCTAGGTGCTCGTAATTTAAAACTCATTGTAGTTCATATTCTTTCACAAGATTATTCATACTCGTGTAAATCATGTGAAGTTCAAGTGGAATGTCTCTCAAAGTTTATATATTATATCATCTCTAGTTTTGAAGGAGTGAGTTTGAGTTTGTCATGGTCTTAACATAAATTCACTGAACTCTTCCCTTGCCCATGTTTCATTGCTGCCTTTGTGGGACTCACTACTCATGCACTGTTTCACTGCACAGGAATGCTGCGTACTGCTTGTAAAGGCAGACTATCTCAACTTGCTAATTCCCTAGAATTTTATTTGGGTGACATAATTTTTCTCACAAAAGCTTGGGCCACCCTCAGGTGTCTTAGCTTCCAGAACTGTTGGGTGGGGGCAGGAGGGGGTTGCAGTCAAGAAGTTTTCAGAGTGAGGTGCACAGCACTATTGTGTGACCCATTTCTTCCCTAAAATCTTCCATGCAACAGTATTAATTCTACTATGTCAGAATAATGACCTAATTTAAAATGAAATATTAAAGGATTTTTAAACCTTGCCATTAATACATCCAGTATAATTTAGTTGATTGTTATTGTATTAGTCTAGTTTCAATTAATTTGTAAAACTTGTTTTTGTATATTAGCATACTAAAAGAATTCAAGATGTAACTGCCCTTCCAATGGGGCTACAGCTGTTCATTTTTCATGACTTCAGCATACAGAGATGTTATTTACTAATAATGGTTAAAGCTAAGAGATTTCTGATGTTTTTACTTTTTCATACCCCCTCCTCACAAGGCTTGTGACATTGTAATTTGCCTTTGCATGTACTATCAAAAGTGTTGTGTCACCAATTTCACAGATCACACTGTGATGTGTGCCAAGTGTTGTTATGTATTTGCAACATAAAATGTTTGATGTTTTAGTAAGGAGGTTGGTCTAGAAGTAAACACAGAGAAAACTAAATATATATTGCTGTCACATCGTCAAAATGTGGGGCAAAATCATGATATAACGATAGGTAACAGATATTTTGAAAATGTTGCACAGTTCAGATATTTGGGAACAATGATAACAGATCACAGCCTGATTCAGGAGGAAATTAAGAGGCGACTGAACTTGGGTAATGCTTCCTACCAATCAGTCCATAACCTTTTGTCCTCTCATCTGCTGTCAAAAAACATTAAAATTAGAATATACAAAACTCTGATTTTGCCTGTGGTTCTGTATGGTTATGAAACTTGGACTCTGACATTAAGGGAGGAACATCAACTGAGGGTGTCTGAGAATAGGATATTGAGAATATTTGGAGCGAAGAGAGATGAAGTGACAGGATGTTGGAGAAAACTGCATAATGAGGAGCTTCATAACTTGTATTCATCATCAAGTATAATTAGAATGATCAAGCCAAGGAGGATGAGATGGGCAGGGCATGTAGCATGAATGGGGAAAAGAGGAATGCAAATGGGATATTGGTGAGAAAGCCAGAAGGAAGGAGACCACAGTGAAGACCAAGATATAGATGGGTGCCCAATATTAAAATGGTTCTTAGAGAGATAGGATGGTGTGGATTAGATTCATCTGGCTCACAATAGGGACCAGTGGAGGACTCTTGTGAACACGATAATGAACCTTCGGGTTCCATAAAATGGTGGGAAGTTAGTGAGTAGCTGCACAGTTGGCAGCTCCTCCAGAAGGGCTCAGCTCCCATAAGTGAGTGATTAATATTTGGATAGGAACAATAGATTGCAGGAGGATATTATTTTTCTATATGAAAGTGCCATTTTTAATAATTTTTTTTTTTTTTTTAAATATTTCGTGCAAGTTAATTTGTACCTGGTAAGAGTAAGGATGGAAGTAACAAGACTGGAAAGGGCATACTCCATAATGTAGTACACAGAATTATCTCTAGTGTTCTTTGAAGTTTGTTAAGGTTGCCTGGGAATAAATGCAATTCAGTGAATGTCTCCCATGTCTTGTTACATCAATGTCTATCAGAGATTTTGTGGGATGCATGGAAAGTCCATTTATGGCTTTTTATAAACTAGACTTTATTGTTGAACATGAACAGTATGGCTAAAAGCTGGAACTGCCCAATAATTCTTGGTAAAAGTCTCTTGTGTTGGATTTCAATAGAATTTATGAAATACCTAGTTCGTTGGATACACGGGGAAAGTATTTTTATGGTATGCAACCTAGACTTTGTTGTTGATCAGTGTGATTGAAAATTTGAATTGCTGAGCACCTATTTGAAGGAAATCTCCAATGGTGTGTAAGGGCCAAAGTGCAGTATTTTCTTCCTAATTGCAGCTTCCATCATTTGTGTGCTACATATTTCGGTATAAGCATCATCTGCCTTAAAATGAATGATAGTTGACGAAGCAGTCATTTTCATCAGAATTTGAAAGGACCATGCAAAATAGTGACCCTTTCCGTGAATTAAAGTGAAAGAAAGACAATAAATAAACATGAATAGAAGTACCATTTGTCTTTAAAATCTGTCAGCTCATTTTTTTTCCTTGGCACTACAGCCCCAGCGGGCCTAGGCCTACCTCCATGAACTTCTCCGTTCACTTCGGCTTTCCTAGATCTTAGACATATTGTAGGACTCCTTGGGCGGGTGATCAGCTTGTCGCAAGGCCTCTACCTGTACACCAACAGAAAAACGCACACACAAACATCCATGCCTCTGAGTGGGATTCGAACCCACGATCCCAGCTTCCGAGCGAGCGAAGACAGTGCACGCCTTAGACCGCTCGGCTACTGTGACCGGCTGTCAGCTCATTTAGGAAGGTAAAGTCCCTGTGCTTAACTAATTAAACACTATGCCATGAAGACGTATGGGGGAGTGGATGTATAGAGCCACATTTTTCTTGACCTCAGTAGTAGCTGGAGGTGAGTGGTCAGCTTCATGCTCCGGCCACCTCACTCCCTGGGGAAAGCCCCTGGTATTCATTGGATAGGAGGTTGGGTGGACCCTAGAGCTGGTCTGGACGATGTGGAAAAGAGAAAATTCTTGACTGTACCGGGACTCGAACTCTGACCCCTCAGTCATCCAATTGATGGCTGGTCGCAATACCAACTACACTACCATGGCTCATATAGGCTCTTAAAATGTACAAAGGAAAAGTTGCCTTGTGCACTGAAGTACCATGACATGATGTGTGGGAAACTGGCAATTTTAGCTTCAGCAATAAATGGAAGTGAGTATCTTAACATTATTTGTAATATTTGGACAGAGATGGATCTGTATGAGTGCAGCTGCGTTGTTTTAATCATACATTGTGAAGCCAGTGGATAAAATTTAAAATGAATATATAAGAATATAAAGTCAAAGTAGCAAGTGCAGTTAGTCACCATAACAGAATGATCTTGGGGCTCAAATGTTTGTAAAATATTTCTCTTCCTACAAATTGTAAAACAGCGGGAAAGTAAAAATTACTATTAAGTAGCATTTTTAATACAAATTATTAGCATCCTTATGGATGCTACTTAGAATATGAAAAGGACTTTGATTTACATGTCCTGAAAGTGTTTTTAAGATATTTCAAGTCTTATGATTTCAGTCTTTTGTGCCCTAATATACAGATTGTGTAGTATGGAATAGTAGGATGATTAATGAATTGGAAGTGGTTGTGGCCGTTCGAGGTAGTGTACCAGCCTTTGCAAGGAGGGACTGAGGAAAGCCTCAGATATAACCTGTGACTTTTCTGTCCAAGAGTTGAAATGGATAGGGAACAACCTGTAGGTCCTCAGAATTCCTTCTATACATGGTGAAGGATGCAGTGAGCTACAGCAATTAAATGCGGCAAGGTGATCATATATGCTTGCTTTTTATTTTGCAAAATATTGAAAGTGCAAAAATGCATTGTTTCAGCTATGGTATATGCCCTCTAAGAAGAAGAATTTTAGATGTTGGTAACAGCTAATTAATCTGCCTTTCTGATCACAATTGCTACTCTGCGCCCACTGTTCAGTACAAAGTAGATGAGTTTAAATTGTCTTGATTGTTTTGTGTTGTCATATGAGTAGGTTTAGTGAAATATGAAATATTTTGTGAGTGAACTATGCTATTTATGTATTCTGCTGACTAGTTTCAATATTTTAATTTTTTTTACAAATGCGTTAATAAGGAAAAAACGCGTAATTGTATTAGTTTTAAACGAAGATTTAGTAATTATAGAACTATACGCCGAGATGGTGTGTTGCAACATATTCAGATTCAAGACTCCCGTGCTGTCAGTGACAGTTTTGAGCCAGGTACCAAAAGTCATTGGAAGCGTGGTCCGGAAAATTTGGATTTCTATGTGGGACAAGTCAGCGTTGGGTAGTGCAAGGAATTTGCAAATTCGAACGATATTTGCTTCCAGCACTGCGTGTTATTTGCGTAAGGTACCGATGTTTACGACCGGAGCGCAGTAGCGACGGCTGTGGCGACGGACGGAACCAGGCTGAAGGCATCCCAATCAGTTCAGTCTGTATCGAGCTGTGGCAGAGCGTGGAATGAAGTATAACAGTAGAAATTGAAAGGTATTCAAATTAAAGCTTTGACAGTCAAGTGCATCGAGAAGTGGGTGAAGACGAGTCGCTGGAGTCATGTAATCCCCATTACTAACCTTGCTAAATCATTTTATGTTTGTCGAATTAATTTTGCTTCAAAATTTACTTGCGTCTCCGGTAATTTTTATTGGTTACATGAACATGACTTACTGAAGTATGTGTCAATTTGTTGCAACGTTAGCGTACCGATGACGTCAAATAAGCAGGTTTGGGACATAAACGAAAGTGATTTTACTGTGCTGTTATGACGTTGGTTTCGGTGGGATTCTGGTATGTGGCGTAAGTGAAATAGAACAGATTACATGCCTTGAAGTGCGGCTCACTAATAATTTATTCTGGTTAACAGTTCATTCTGCGAATCTGTTCCAAGCAATGGCCCTGTCAATGATATGAGCATATAGATGTATGCTTTAGATGCAACAAGAATGCCCCTCGGAAATGGATCATTTTGTGGACTGCATATGGCACTTGAGTGTCCCAAGAGATGCTACAGGTGTGAATTGATGTTTTCTGTTCTGTACACTCTTTGCAGCTCTACCAGTTGATTCGTTTGTAAACAAAATGTCATCAGTGAATGCTGCCTTGTAACTGATTTCAATGTGTGATGAGAACTGCCTTTTCGTGTTCGTGTGTGTGGCAAATATAGGGCGGAGAAGAAATATGGCGACATTGGTTATTATTATTTTAAGGGTGTGTTCCATTCCACTTCAGAGTGATCAAGGGGTGATAAACTAAAATTCACCTGAAATGTTTTGCCTGAAAGTTTGAGAAAGGTAAGCGGCATTAGTGTAGTTCACTTAGTGTATTATTTGCTTAATTATTTTTGTCAATATATTTGCAGCAATTTTGTAGGAAGAGATGAGCAATCGCCAAGTCGTGTTCCCTTCGAACTGTGAAATGTTGCCTACATTTCCAAATTACAATATAAATTAAGAAATATATGTATGTCAGTCTTCGAATATTCCACTGGTAATTCTTACAAAACTAAATGAAATGGGTAAAATGTATTCACATACAAGGAGCAATGTGTTACATGTCAAGACTAAAGACGTTTATTTGAATATTTGGAAGGGCCTGGTAATGACCTGTATGAGATACTGTTATTTTGCGGCCAGCAGTGAAAATTATGTGAATCGTCCAGAAACACGGCAGTGCACACTTAACTTTGACACGTGATAGTCCGGATGTGCCAATTGGTGTGACTAGGACTGGGTGACCGGAAAACGGGGTTGATAGGAGGTCGGGTCAGAGATTTTTCCACATCGGTTCTGGGGCCCACATAACCTCCTGCCCAGTGACTATCTGAGGCTATTTTCTCGGGGCGTAAAGCTGACCACCCCACGCCTGTCTAATGTCGAGCTTAAGAATGTTTTAGTGACATGGTGCTGAATTAGGCACAGGGACAGCTTTGCCCTTTTACGTTTGCAGCTGCCGTTTTGCGGGTTCAGGAGTTTCCAAAGAAAAGTTTTTTTCTTTAAAAATCTTGATAAACCGAATATCTTAAGATTTTATAGCATTTTGTATTAGAATTGTGCTACATGTACTCACAAGACCAAACTGTATGCAACACTCTGATTGCCTGTGATTTGCCGGTTTCTCCGATTGCAAGGAAAGAAGACATTGATCGGAGTTTTGAGGTGAATATTTGGATCTGATTGACAGGAGACTGGAGAAACTCGCATATTGAGGAACTTTATGATCCATGTTCTTCACCAGGGTCAATAGAATGATCAGTTCAGGAGATATAACATGGGCGGGACGTGTAGCACACATGTGAGACAGGCATAAATGGTATGATAACATTAATATGGGGCTTAAATAAGCAAAATGTGAGACTGTGCACTGGAGTCTTCTGATTCATGACGGGCCAGTGGCAGGTTCTTGGCGTTCCATAAAAGGCAGGGAATTTTTTGGCTGTCAGCTTCTCAAGAACTGCTCGCTAGATGATGACGAATGGACTGGACGGCCGCAATTTTAATTTCGGCAAGGAAACAATCAGAACTCCGCATGTGGACACACAGTAAACTCTTGTGTGATGGGTGATAAGGGGTGAAGAAGTGGGAGCGTGAGGATGACCGTATTCCTCTTTTACTCTTTATATGTGGACATTTTGACAGCCTCTGTGGTCTAGTGGTCAGAGTTCCTGGCTACAGATCCAGAGCTCCGGGTTCGATTCCCGGCGCCACCAGATTTTCTGAGAAGTAGTGGGTCTGGAACGGGGTCCACTCAGCCTCGTGAAGATAATTGAGTAGCTATTTCAAGGATACAGTGGCTCCGGTCTAGAAAACCGAAATTAACGGTCGTGGGAATGCGCTGACCACGTGACACTCTCTATCCGCTAAAGTTGGCACTAACTTCGCCGACAAGGCCGTGCCATACCTCAAGCGGTTAGTCGCTGGCTTCCCACCGCGGCGGCTTCGGTTCGATCCCGGGGTCTGGTCGATTGGGATTTGTGGTGGACAAAGTGGCGTTGGGGTGGGTTTTCTCCTAGTACTTCGATTTCCCCTGCCAAGCTTCATTCCACCAAATTCTCCCTCATCATAATCACTCGGGGCAGGCTACATTAGGTCAATCAGTGGCCGCCGTGCCAGGTGGACCCAATTGGACTCCACCCTCCACTAAGCGAATTAAAAAAAAAAACTTCACCGAGAAGCGGCGGTCTCTCGGTATAGTTCGCTGGCGGACTAAAACCACGGAGTTTTTTTTTATGTGAACATTTTGCATGTGTGAATTGTACGAATCTGTGAGAAGACATTTACCGCCTCTCTGCTTTGTTAGTGTTTACACCGTGAACGAATACGAAAAGAATCATACGGCATAACGGGACAACACTTCGTAGCGTCAACATTTATTTATTTCAAAATGAAGCACTAGTTCTCAAACAATCTTATAAAACGTTCGAGTATTGAGACAAAGAGAATCCATGCAAGTGCACGCACCTTATTGCCGTGAGTTGGGATTAACGTGAACTCTTAACTGTCACTGGGTACCCTAACAAATATTTCTCTTCTTATATAATATACAAGTCCATGAACTTAGTTTATGGTAACGGGTTCAGAGCGCCGTATTGATCTGTACCTAACACCTTTCAGCTCTATTGATTTTGTCAGTAAGCAGATATGATGTGTCTGTAATTCTCGGAAGGAATAACATGTATTGTTATGTTCTGATAACATAGTCGACAAAACAAGATACGAAATCACTCCGACTGGTTATTTTTACGGATGTCTAAAAAGATACCGAGCCGGTCACGGTAGCCGAGCGGTCTAAGGCATGTACTGTCTTCGCTTGCTTGGAAACCGGGATCGTGGGTTCGCATCCCACTCAGGGCATAGATGTTTAGTTTGTGTGTGTGCATTTTTCTGTGTTTGTATACAGTTAGAAGCCTTGCGACGAGCTGATCACCCGCCCAAGGAGTCCTATCGAATGTGTAAGGTCTAGAAAAACCGAAGTGAACGGAGAAGTTCATGGAGGTAGGCCTAGGCCCACTGGGACTGTAGTGCCAAGGGGGGATGGGGAAAAGATACCGGCTTACTCTCTGCAGTCGGAGCCATGGGTACTCCAGGTTCTGGGTACTGTGTCACTCACTCACCTTTCTCTGTCTCTTAACACCAAATCACATTGTGTCCATGTTGATTGGACGTACGGACCTGATACACTCAGTAACATTCCTTATTACAACCTGCACACTCGTTCACTCAGATTCCCATGAGCATGTATCCATTTAGTGAACCGATCGTACCCTCCTCACATTTGTTTTCCATCCATCGGTTGTAAATAACACGTACATAAGTTACTTTACATGGAAAAAACTTACACGATTTCAGTTAAATGGACAGGCAATGTGAACTGCCATGGGAAATTTCTGCTTCAGAAGCGCTGACCTAGAATGCAACGGAAATGCGAGAGTAGCGTACACTGACGCTTTCGGAGAGCGAGTCGTATGAATGCAGCTTCCATGACTTCGAACCAGGGTTGGAAATGGGGAAGACGCCGGTAGGTGCCGTCTGCTTTGTTCCAGAGCACTTCATTTGACGAAGTCATATCCTGTCCTCCCAACAACGTTACCTGTAGCCTACACTGTAGTAGTTTCCCTTTAATATATGTTGCCGGCTATGCTCATCTGGAGCATCTGTCTGGTTCTGAAAAGCAATTTCCACTCTTGCTTCCAACGCTTTGCACCAAGTCAGACGTTGGAGAACGCAATGTCGAACTGTTTTCTAGAAATTCGCTTTCTTGATTTTTGAAATAGAATTCATGTTGACATCCTTCGTAGTTCGAGATCGATGGTTTTATAATCTTAAATAAATGAAATCAGGAACGGTGAAGTATTTCTCGTATGGAAGTTAATTTTTATAAAAAACTTGATGGACTTTCCCCTAATAATTCTTTAGAATTTTCCTTTCGTTATAGCGTGAAACTTACTATTATTGATTTGTATGCAATTAATTTTATAACAGTACCATCAGACTTGGTGCTTCAGAACTTATTTTATTGCTGCATTGGAAGGGCATAGCGTCTGTGCGTTGACTTTGAAGTTTAGAAGTAGGCCTACTGCAGATAAAGCAGGTCACTCACTCATGGAGCTGAGCCCTATTTGAGAAGCCGCCAATTGTGCAACTACTCAAGAAATTTCCAGCATTTTATGGGACCCAAATGTTCATTAACGTGTTCACAAAAGCCCTCCGCTGGTCCCTATCCTGATCCACATCGACCCAGTCCACACCATCCCATCTCTCTCTAAGATCCATTTTAATATTGTCCACGCACTTACGTCTTGGTCTTCCTAGTGGTCTTTCCGTATGGCTTTCCCACCAAGATCCTACATGCATTCCTCTTCTCGCCATTTGTGCTACATGCCCTACCCATCTCACTCTCCTTGACTTATTCCAATTATACTTGTAGGCATGTACCTGTTCATAATATTTAATTATTAGTATTATTTTGAAATTAAATGTTTTTCAAAGTAATGCTTATTAACCCTAACATGAAGTTATATATATAAGTTCCCTGTTGCCTGTGTCAACAGCGGTATCCCCTGTTACGTCACAGTGGGAAGTGCTGTTACGTCACCGCGGGGGATGGGGGCGGAGTGTTGATTGGCCTGTTACCGTAGCAGCGACAGCGCTCCGATGCTGTTACGTCACCGCTGGCTGGGGAGGGGGTGTCCTGCATAGCGCAAATACGTCACAATATATATATATATATCGTATAAATCGTATTTATTAGAAATCTGTTAAGCGAGTTCGGTTGTGTATTGATGGAAGCGAGCATTTACTCGTTCTGCATTCCACATGTTACCAGGGATTAGTTGCTCCCATTTTTTGCCAAGTTCGATGGTCTGGGCCCGCCCTATATTGAAGGAGCTTGCCGCTCACCGCAGCTTTTCTTTTGCTATCGACCGAGGTGAGGAAGGCTGAGTAAGCAGCCCATTCAATTTGTCTCGTGGGCACAGTCGATTTTGTGTTCCCAGAAGCCACCTTTTTCAGTATAGTTCGATGTATATGATTGTGGTGGAGATGTACAGCAGTCTATGTGGTAGAAGTTACGTCACAACATGCCGAAAAACAAAATAACAGCGCATTGAGCGCAAAGAGGATCTATGTGTCAGTCATGAATTTTGTTGGCAGCACTTTCATTTACAGAGCGATGGTGAGGATAGTGAAAATGATTAACGGGAGCATGTAGGCCTGCGTGTTCGTAAGGAGTAAGCTGGTGAACCATTTCAATAGGCACGAGTTGCTTTAGGATAAAGATGTGCTGCCATTAGTTC